GTTTATAGATAAGCTGTTACGGGCTTAGCAGAGGGACGCCTTTGCTGCTAAACGTATAGATAAGCTTGTAAGTAGGCGAAAGACTCGATCTAGTAAGAGTAATTAGTCGATCGACGATAAAGGTTACTTAAGGTTCAAGGGTAGATACTATGTCCCCGCTAAACAATCGATTAGACAAGAACTTCTTAAGCGACACTATAATAGTGAGCTTGCCGGTTACTATAGTATAGAGAGGTCGTACGAGCTACTATCGCGTATATACTACTAGCTAAATAGTAAGCGGGACATAAAGGACTACGTAAACACGTGTGCCGTATGTTAACGAGTTAAAGCACCTAAGTACTTGCTATTTGGCGAGTTGTCTTTACTCCCTGTTCTAAAGAAGCCTTTTGTAGAGCTTATAATAGACTTTATTATAGGTCTTCCCCCTACTAAGCGAAGAGGAAGCAAAGACGTCTTTAACGCTATACTAGTTATTATAGACCGATTTACTAAGGGTGCTCGCTACATTCCTACTCGTAAGGATTAGACTGCTATTAATATAGTAGAGGCGCTATAGACTAACATCTTCTATACCTATTAGGGAACACCTAAGGGGATAGTCTCCGATAGGGGCTCGATATTTATATCGCACTATTAGAGCGAAATATACCTATAGCTAAGACTAAAGCATCGGCTATTAACAGCCTTCTATCTACAGACTGACGGTTAAATAGAGAGACAGAATGCTACCCTGTAGTAGTACCTGCGTAGTTATATTAACGAGAATCCTAAGGATTGGGTTAATCTCCTATAGCCTACAGAATTCGTATATAATAATAGTGTATACTCATTAACTAAGGTTTCACTATACATAGCTATAATGGGTCAAAACGCCGCGTTGCTATAAGATCTATTTACCTCGCTCGAGGCCGAGCGTAAGGAAAGGGAAGCGCGTTAAGTACTAGAGACACTAGCGGCAATAGAACGTGTCTAGAAGATGCGAGAAATCCATGCTAAGATAGCTGAGAAGTTAACAAAGGCTTAAGAATACTAAAAGGCCTACTACGATAAGCGTTATACACTAATAACCTTCAAACAAGGCGACATGGTTATGCTTAGCACTAAGAACCTCCGTATCCGCAAACACCTATCGCCTAATAGTAAAACAAGGCCCAAGCTCGCACTAAGATACATTAGCCTATTTCGCATCCGAGAACCGAAGGGCAATAGCTAGGCCTACTAGTTATAGCTTCCACCTTATTATACTATCTATAATACCTTCTATATCTCCCTCCTCAAACTATACTACTAGCGCGAAGGCGATAAAGCACCTGCTAAATCCGAGGACATACTAGCTAATAGCGAAGAGCTGTAGTCTATAGAACGTATCCTAAAGCATCGGACTAGGCAGGGCAAGAAGGAGTACCTATTGAGATAGCAAGGCTATTCACCTAAATAGGACTTATAGGAGGCTAAAGACTCGTTTAAAGATATAACTAAGTTGTTGAATGAGTATTGGACTAGCGTAAAGAATACAAAGAAGGCTAAGAGCTTATAATGCCTATAATGTTACTACTAAGCCTAGGAACAATGCTATCCCCGGGGTACTATTAGCTAACTAATTAGAGGCAAGCAATTGTTAGCAATAAAGGACAATAAGACTACACTACTAGGGTGAACGCGTACTAAGTGTTAATAAGCGCGCTATAACGCGTCAACTATTCGCTGCTCTTCTAGGAAACTACCTCTCTACTAACGCGCCCTATAGGTCCCCCTCTTATTCCTTTATTCTGTCGAGGCTTTAAGGCCTAGGCGATCTACGAGGACGGCGCGCGCGTAAATGGCGATAGTAATAATAACGACGGCGCGGCCGGCGCGGCTATATTAGTAATAGTGTTGCGGAGTATACTACTATTTAAGAAAGGAAGGACACCGCTATATTAGTAACGGTGTTACCGAGTTGTTATTAGTTAAAGAAGGTAAAGTTGGCGCTAAGACGACTAGCGCTGCTATTGTTAACATTACTTACTATTGTCGCTGCGCCTATAGATACAACCTTACCTACACTACGAGCCTAAGGCACCTTTAATCAAAACTTTGATTAAAGCTTTAAGCCTATTAAAGGTTTGATCAAAACCTTAAGGCTAAGTCAAAACTTTGACTAAGTTAAAAGATTGAGCGACTAATAGACTAACTAAGGGCAAAACTATAGAGCTAAGCTAGCCGGGGTCGATCTTGCGGACAATAGGTTACTCCTCGATCTATCTAACCCTTCAAGCGAGGCGAACCTCTACTACTGCACTTATAATAGCCTTTACCTATAGAAACTAGACGAGCTGTGTTTTTTAAAAAGATAAGATAAGATTGACACTTGAAGGCTGCTAAACCTAGCTAATTGGGGCTAGCGAAACTACGAACAATAAGAACAATCCTCGGAACGGACAAACCCTCGGAGCGGACATTTCTAGGTCTTTTAGAGTAGACGCAGAGAACTCGGTACGACATTACTTAGAGCGGAGGCAGGGCTGCAATACCTCGTACGTCTACCTGTTATAGTAGGGAAGACGCGCTCGTATTGTAATTAGTCGAAGGCCCTCAATTCTTATAGATATATATTACTTTATAGTTTATTATATATAGAGATAGCGCAGTTAGAGTTGTATATTGTGTTGTTTAGAGGTAAGGTTTGATATAGTTACATAATTAGGTAGTTAAGTGTTTAATTCAGTGCAGGCTAAGTAGCTTATTAGACTTGCTAAGTTAGCGGCAATAGAGGTCGTAGAACGTAGACAGGCTACGAGGGCGCGGCCTTTAGAAGGGAAGCGTGTATTAGAGCTAAAAAGGCTATACGTGATTGGCATATAATTAGGCCGAGTAAAGCTAGGGTCTTAGTGCCTCAGGCAGGGCTTGGCGCTTAGCGTTAGGCTAACTCTCCTACCTTCCTCCCTCTCCTCCTAGATCCTTATCGAATACTACTCGTACCTACTACTACCCTATCTACCTGCTAACATACCCTTCTTACACGCCTCTAGCGCTTACAAATCTAGTAGGACTTAGTATATTCGGCGCCTCGCTAGTAGCGCTAATAATAGAGACACTTAAAGACTCGAATAGCGACCTAATCCTATGTCTTAAGCTACGGCCTTTAGCTAGTATCCTTAGTATATTAAATATAGGCGATAGTACCTCTTTAAGTATAGCTCCTTAAGCCTACGACTCTCTCTAAAGCTGTTTAGACTCGAAGTCTAAGCGACGACGCTTAGTAAGCTAAGCAGTATTGCTATCGGCTATACTTAGCGTAGATAAGTTAATAACTTCTACTCTCTAGATAGGCGTTATTAGAGCTACTACTAGAGCCGCCGCTAGAGCCGCCGCTAGAGCCGCCGCTAGAGTCTAGTTATTACGCTAAGACAGCGTCGATAGCATAGCGTTACGTATGTTCTTAGTAGGGTAGTTAAATGCCCTTAATTCCTTAGTATTTAATACCTTCTTACGCTATACCTTATCTAGTCGAAACAGTGTCTCTATAGCCTAGTTAAGAAGCTAGTCTTAAAGAGTCTCTATAATAACTATACCGGAAGCCGCTTCTAACGGTCTTCTAGTAACAACTCGGCGCTTAATTATAGCCCGATAAGCCCTTACTAGATTACCGAGTATTAGCTTACCTATCGGCTAACTAGTAAGAATAATAGCCTTAAAGCTATTATTCTACTTACGCACCTTGCTAGTTACTCGTTTATAGGCTATTATAGCACTAACCTTAGCAAGGGTAAGCTCGCCGTCCGAAGAGATATAGCTATTACTATTAACTCGGATATTGCTATACTCCTTAGTAATAGAAGCGGCAATAATCTCGTCTTAAGAAGGTCTAGAGTTAACTAAGGTTTAGCTATTAGTTTAACTATTAGATAGAGCGCTAATTAGTATAGCAACTAGCGCTAGAATTGGCGTAGAAACAGACGCTGTAACTAGCGTAGAAACTAGCTAGATTAGCGTTAAAATAGGCCCTTAAGATAGCGTAGAAACAGACTTAATTAGTATAGAAACAGGCCTATTAACTAGACTAGCTACTAAGTAATAGGTTAGACTATATAGTACTAGTTAACTATAATAGTTACGGAAGGTAGTGAGTAGTATATATAGACCTAAGCGAGGGTATAGATCGCTCCGCGAGAAGTCGAAACCTAGATTAAGAAAGGCGGTAATACTAGGTAGGGTATATATTAGGGTTACTAGAGCCGCTATAATGCTTAGAAGGGCTAGTTTGCTAACAAACACGGTAGTCTAGGCATCTATAGTGCTCTTAGAAGCCTAATATATGCCTCTCTCGGGGTACGGACTAGTTCTAATTATAATCGCTCTCTACCGAGGTCTCTATAGCTATTCCTATAACGGCTCTTAGAGTAACTACATATAGGCCACTAGACCTATATAACCCTTAGCAGCCGCCTAGCGACCTTTACCTACCTCTTGCTAGACTTACCGTCTTTATATATATATATATATATATAAGGAGTATATAGTAGCTAGTAGGTAATAGCTACTATACTAGAAAACTAAATTTAATAGAAGGCAGAGACAGGGTTTAAGCTATTTAGCTAAGGATTTAGTACACTCCTTTACTTAACTACTAACGGCCTAGCGTAGGGTCTAATTAGCGTATTTTCCTTTATATAAGGGTATACGGTTAACTATACGAGCTCGTATAGTTACCCGTACTTTTATTTACTTAATCCTTTACGCACAGATAACTATACGGAGCTTATTCACATGTTGAGGCGCTAAGGGGTGCCACTGCCGCGTGCACGGAGCGCAACTGCCCTTCTAAACCTACTGCGCAAGGTGCCTATTGTGCTATACAGCAACCCAGGAACGTTCAAGCTAAAAATGGTTCACTTATCCCAGACCGTTGCGCGGCTGCATGTCTCGGCAGAGCCCGCGAGTCAACCAACTTCAAACTGAACTGCTCCCTCACTTACGCGTTAGTTATTACGCCTTACGCAACCCTGGTATTCATTGTTTGTTGTCCCTTTCACGTCGCTCCTGACATCATTCCATACCATCACTTCAGTCGCATTACTAGCTTGCTATCCTAACGCGCCTATGTGTTAATGTCTAGTGAACGGAGCCGCGCCGGGCCAAGTTCTATTGATGCACGGAATGGGGTCGTAACCAGTCCAGCAGAGTACGCTGCCTCACCCACGAGTCCAGCGCTCTCTGCTGCCTCATCTGGACGAATAAACTTCCAGAGCCATGGCAAATCGCTATCGATGGCTTCGACATCTTCACATCCTGCCAGATCGAACCGCTTCTCTGTGCAGTTCCCCATCGCTTCGGGATCAAACACACCCGCACGAACCGCGTCTCCGGTAAGGGAACTCGCAGCGGAAGTGCCTGTAGCCGAAGCACTGGCTCTGCTTCAGAATGGAGCGCCTGACACTAATTCCTTTCTGGGCCTCATCGCGAGCCAGGAGCGAAGAGTGCTGGAGCTCAAGGAGGAGTTGCTTCGAGCGGAGGCAGATCTGGACAAGCTGAAGCGTCAGTGGGCTCGGCATGAAGTGCAGAAGCAGCGTGAGCATGTCAAGCGCTTGACGAAGCTGCAGCCGCTACAAACTGCACTACCTGTCAATGACTCGGAGGAGGATGTGGACGGCTCAAGCGCGTGGATGCAGCAAGAGATGGAGAGGAGGAAAGCTTTGCTCTCGAGGAGTAACACTACTGGCGGACGAACGGTCCTGCCTGGTCAGAGACATGCACGAGCTTTGTCATTATTGTCGCTTGCAAGAGACAATAATGGCAGGGATCTTACTGCTCCTGCACCGCAAAGGCCACCTCCGCCTAGGAAGGATAGTCTGAAGAACCGACCGAGCGTTGAGGGTGCAGCGTCTGACCCGCCTCCTTTGATCGAGCCCATTACGGAAACAGCAGGTCTTACCAGTGAGGTCAACAAGAGCGTAATTGCAAATATCGACCTTACGCAGAGAGCGACCATCGACCAAGAAGCGCTGCTGAAAACTGGAAAGAAGATGGCTACAGACTTTAAGGACGGACTGTGGACGTTTTGGGAGGATCTGCGACAAGCTACAGTTGGTGATGATTCAGTTCCTATACCGCCTCCCAGGCGCAAGAGCTCGACACAGACGCCTCGAACTGCTCGCAAACAGGGCAGTCGCAATAGTCTGCGTCCTTCCTCTCGAGGCTCTTCGACTGTGAGTAAGAGCTCAGACCAAACAGTCAAGCAGCCTTCCCCGAACAGGAACCGGAAGCAATCTACGCCTTCAGCGTTACCTGATCTCGCCGATCCCTCATTCTGGGCCGAACATGGTGTGACTGTTCCAACTCAGACCTCTCAAGCTGTCACCAAGAAAGCGACCACTTCAAAGCACGCCAAGTCGCCATCAATCGCGAAGCGCATGTCTGTCGTCAGTAATGATCCTTGGGACACCTGGGACGACAGTCCAGAGCAGAGCCGAAGCGAGAGCAGCGTGACTAGCGATGCAGGTACTTTACCGAGTACTGTTAGCGGCAGTCCGAGGACGAGTATCAGTGTCACTGGTTCGAGTTCTGCAGAGAAGGAGAAGCGAGATCCCATTCCTTGGCCAGTGTTGAGGAAGTCCGGCTTGGGGAGTCTGAGAAGAACGGCCAGCAATCTGATGCAAGAATGGGAAAACTCTCTCAAACCGACGCCGAGTCCTAATGATAAGAGGAACAGCCAGGCGGACTATTTGGGCGTTTCTGCTGAAGCTGAGGCTTATGGAGCTGGAAGAATGTAGATGGCTGGGATACTGGGCTTTGATTTCTGGCGTGTAGATATTGGATATGGGACTCATGTGGAATGAATGTATTTGATCTTGGGCCGTGATTCTAGCTTTCAATATAGTTATGGGCAGGCGATTGAGACGTGAGGGCCATGAATGAGGACCATTTAGATTGTCTTCGCTGTGCTCGTTGCGATGGAAATGAAACCCTACGTGGTATGGAGATAGCGTCCACAAATGAATGAGTGTTGGGACGGCATTTGCTCTGTCACAAATCCCAGCTCACTCGGAAACTCGAAACATGTTCGGTCTCTTCCGGGACTCCACGACCAGCGCTCATTCTCAAACCGCACCCGCCAATCGATCCACCTAGATCCGAGCACAGTTGCATCAAATCGGTAGCATGTCAGGGCAACGTTGTCGTGAAGTTTACCCTAAGGATTTCCGGAGGTAGGTACGGAGTTTGCGGGCTCTTCTCCATCTGGACTTTCAAACATCGACGTCGATCGCAGCACTCACAAAACTTCACCTCTGACTACCTCGCCATCCTCGACAAACACACTCATCATGGGCTCACCATTCGGTCCACCAGGCGCAGGTGCCGGTAACATGGATCCAGAAATGATGCAGCAACAACAAATGATCAAACTGGTATGCGCGCACCTCCCCAATACTGAAGCCACCAGACCTAGCCCGTCCATACTAACCACCGCTTCTTAACCTCTAGATGCAATCAGCAATGGAATCCTGCCCCGCGAAAACCGTTCTATCAGGCGGCATGGGTTTCGGCTTCGGCGGTCTCTTCGGCCTCTTCATGGCCTCGATGCGCTACGACACGCCCCTCTCCGCAGGCCAACCCGGCGGCGTAGGCACAGGCGCCATCCCCTCAATCCCCATGCGCGAACAACTCAAGATCGGCTTCAAAGATATGGGAAAGAGTTCATGGTCTTCGGCCAAGAATTTCGGATACATTGGAGCGATCTTCGCGGGCACGGAGTGTTGTATTGAGGGTTTTCGGGCGAAGAATGATATGGGGAATGGTGTTGCGGCGGGATGCTTGACGGGGGCGTTTCTGGCGAAGAATGCTGGTCCTCAGGCTATGGCGGTCGGGTGTGCGGGTTTTGCGGCTTTCAGTGCGGCGATTGATGCGTATATGAGGATGGAGAGTAATGATGTTGCGGCGGATCCGATTATATGAGGAGATGAAGGATTTGAGATCATTCTGAGGATATGATGGTTTCGCTGTGCAAGATCATTGGGCACAACGTGTGACGGACGAGTTTGTGGAAAATGGGCATCACAGATTGCTGCCACAGATCGAGGATTGGTCGCCATGCTGCAATACATCTCCGGACGATGAGATCAGGCGCAGCACTTCTGGGATACGGGAATCTCCACTATACATAAGACGAACACAGGAAGATCAGGCAGGAACTTGGCGAAGGAAGTGCTCCAGCCAAGCCGCTTGGACTTCGAACGTTGATGGCCTAAAGAGTTTGTGAAGGACGTTTGGACGAATTCGTGGGCACACATCAGCACTGAGAAGCATCTCACTCGCCGAAAACGCCACGAGGTTACTCCGGCAGCACTGGAGCATTGCGAAGGCAGTATGTATGATACCCAAACTGAAAAATCCTATTCAAGCATGCAGGCGCAGAATCAGCGCGCATACATATTCTTCCTTCTGGTGCGTGAATGGAAGAAGAGAAGCAAAACGACAACTTTTCAATATGCCCCTTGAGCAACTTCTGCAGCTTGAGCTTAAGGAGATGCATTTGAGATATGTAAAGCATCTTGGCCTTTACTTGGGGTGATCGTCTGTTTGTCCGTTCCTTGGCGAGTTCTTGCAACGGCGTTGATGGAGCGTCGTGATCGGTAACGTTGTCGGGAGCTTGCCCGGGTCATGATGCTGCCGATCAAACGGTAGAAGCATGCCCTGAGTCTTGCCGACTGTTCCGAGATCAAATCTGAACTTGATACCGGTAGAGCAGTACATGACGACGTCTATCTCATAGGGCGCGCCGCGCCCGAATCACCGTGCGCTGTGCCTTGCCCTCTGATCTCCTTCCATTGCGACGAGCTGTCCAACGGTCTCCGCGCACATCCAGGACTTTTAAGCGTGATTTTCGCTCGTACTTCATCTGCTGAGACCCAGATCTTCGTGGTTCAACCTCATGATTCCAATTGAGTTTTCTGGAATCCATATCCTCCAGACTCGGACGTGTGCTTCCGATGACAGTGCCTCCTGTGCCTACTTCTCCATCTGCTAGTATGAGAGGGGGAGGAGCAGTGTCTGGCAGCTTGTCTCTAGTCCCCCCCTGACATATATATGGGCTTCGACAAAGTGCCTGTAACCGAGAATGAATGCATTTCGACCAGCTTGTGACTGAGATAAATGTCACAAATGCTTAGTCGTCAAGATTCACATGCCATGAGTGGGCATATGCAATTAGAGATGCACTTCATTGCAAGCTTATGTACAAGAATGTGTTGGGGCTGATTGCTGCGAACTTATTCGCCGAAAAATGAGGATTGACCTAAACCAAGCCGTGGTCAACCACGAAAAGGTGGTAGAACGTCGCACATGCTTCAAGATTTTCTCAGAAGACAGACTTCCAAGTCGAGCTCCTGAAAATCTTCTCTTTCTCTCTTTCAGCTCCACCCTTGGTACCCGCATGCCCGAAACTTTTAGCCTTGCCGATGAGACCATTCATCGAATAATGCTCCAGCTGTAGGTGCACTCGCCATTCAGCATCTCCATCAAGCGCCAAGACTCGATCAACCTTTGCGACCAGCTCCAAAACGCCCTTGTCAAACTTGATCCGAGCACTTTGCTGCGGTCTCACTTGGCCGAGCGCAGAGTATATCGCTCGTGAAGAATCTGGCAGAGCAGAGTACTTTGAGAGCCAGACTCTCGGCTCCGCTCTGCCGGAACGATGTATCTCCTGCCCAAAAATCAAAATGAATCGCTTCTTGCCGCTGTCCGGGTCGGCGAGGACGATATAGCCTCGATCGTTCTCGTGGCTTCCGGTGATCATGAGTGTCATGCAACAGTCGTTTGGGTCCCACGCCTCGCTAGGAAAGGCCTCGTCGTGCAAAAGATGGAGTTGATTGACGGAATTTTGGACTTTGATCTTTTGTGTCCAGAGGTCTGCGGGAGCAGAGTTGTCGGGGTTACTCGGAAACTTAAGGATCATGAGATCCAGCCATTTGGCGCCTGGCAAGAACTTTCGGTCCAGATTCTTGAAAGCTGTGAATGTTCCCTCGGAATTTCGAACTGGAGCCATCTCGCATACCACATTTGTCATTTCCCGACGAGGCACAATCATGCCTGGCGGATGGCGACGGAGTAGAATGGCGATCTGCCGCATGGTACTGCTCGAGAAGCGACAGTTCAGGATGGCGGTGAGGAGCATAGGATCCTCCTCATTCTCAATTGCCGGGAGACGGATGCGAAGGCCTTTATTGTGTAACGAGAATGAATCATCGAGCCAATCGAAGGACCATGACAAAATATCGTGAGCATTTCGAAAGCCGAATGGTGATGGTGAGAGAAGCATAGAAGCTTGAGATTGCTCCCACGCTTGCCAAGCAAATATCGAAGGGTCTTCGTAGGTCTTGATGATCTCTTCTTGCAGACGTGCGAAAGCTTTCGGGCCTTCCCCATAAATCATTGGCATGTTGACGTCGAAGATACCCATGAGTGAATAGGCGACATCTTCGATCCTAGCTGTTTGTCGACCCGAGGCCCATGCCATTCGAGACGCAACGCTTTTGGTCTGGAGCTTCGTGCGGTCTTTTAGAACCTCAACATCGATTCGTGTGATCGCACCCAGCTCAGGAAGCTTCTCGAACTTTGTGCCAATCCTGCTCCAAGTATCATCGTAGAACTCCAGATAGCCGGGAGCGATAAGTTCTTGCAATGTCCACCCGCGAGTAAACCACTTCGACTTCGCAAAGTCCACCTTGGGTACGTCGGATAGGTAGGCATAGCAGACTTTAGCCTCGTAGTACCATCGGTACATACTGTTAATTGCCTGACTCAATTCAGCACTGCTGGTCTTGTCAATACAGCATGTGTCGATCCAGCAGTAGTCCAGCTTCTCCGCGAGAGCCTGCTTGCAAGCCGAATCTATCTTGGCGTAACCGCGCTTCGAGAGAGCAGATCCATTGCGGATGTCTTGGAATGTGACCTCTTCGTCTTCCCACACATGGCTGAGTATCGCATAGCGTCCATAGATCTTTGGCTCATCCTCGAACTCTACTAAGTCTCGATTCTTGACATCAAGGAGCCACATGGCGTGTTAGTCGATGGCACGACCAGGCGACCTTACTGAGCATGGCCAGAAGCGGGATGCGGAGGTTCAATGAACAGGGTAAGAGGAAAGCAGAAGATAAAGACACCTTGTGACACCTGATGACTGTTCATGTAGACTAGCCATGTTGGCTTGCGTCTAGAACTAATAGAGGAGCCCGCTTCGCTTGCCTCGGTTGCGCGAGTGGAGCAGCGCAGTGCATGAGAAAGGCGGCGCAGACAGTCCTGCGCGCAAGAGCTGCATGTCGTGCATGAGAAGTGTCCCGGTGCCTGAAAAGAGGAGGAAGTGTGGTCGGAGGCTGGGTGTGATTGCTTGGCGTGGGCGGCGCCGACTTCACTTCATGTCGAGCGCGCCTTCCTGCTCCAAGCACTTCACGCCGACGCCGCAGGTTGTAGGAAGACAGCATTGAGGTCGCATTATACTGTGAGATCCAGCTGGTACTTCTCGCGTCGTAGAAAGTCGGCCGCGGATGTTCTACGTGGCTGGCAAAGCACGAGTACTTTCATATTGGTCTGCGAGCATCTTACAGCGCCGGAGCCTCGATGTTTGCGAGCACTTGAGCGCTCGAATTGATTGATAATGGTAGCGCCTGCTCTCCGTCCATGGACGAAAGATTCACGAGTCGCAGACGACTCAACAGAATAAGGGATTTGCGGCCAGCCATGGGAAGCTCATCGCAGTCAAGACCAGAGCACGACGGCAAGCACGATTGTCTTTACGAGCGGCATTGAGACTTGGGTGCTGAGCGATGAGGGTGCAGTAGACAGTCGACGAGAAAGACCAGCAAGAGAATGGTAGAATCGAGAGACCTAGAGAAGAGCTGTGCGTTGCTGGCGAAGAAGACACCCGTATGTGCGTGTGAGACACATATCTTTGCTTCCGAGAGATCGGCTCAGTTGCCGGGCATATAAGACTTATGGAGCTGCGAGCTGGGAGAATATCAGACTCGTCTTCGCACCAGCGTTGGAAAGCAGTGCCTGACTCTGGCCATACCCTCGATGCTGGCGCCTGGCCGTGCTCGCCAGTGCTGGCCGTAATGACAGTCGACATCTCACGGCATTGTCCTGGTCATCGACCATTCCAGACCGATCGCCTGCCATCGTAGCATATCGAGTCGCCGCTGTGTCGGTGGAAGAGCCCTACAGAAGTCGCGGCTTTCTTCGTGCACATCTTGCGTGCTTCTCTCTGACTCCTGAGGCTCGAGCACTTCCGGTGGAGCAGATGGGAAAACTCAATACCTGCCGTCGCGCTGCTACTGCCATCGTCTGTGTGCCATCTCCATGCAGTGATTACAATAGCTGGGCTGGGCTGATACGATCCATGCTGAGGACTCTTACGAGCGTAGCCATGGCATAGCAATCGTGTTCGCCTTCAAGCCCGGACCAGTCTGTTGCCTGGCATCACAACGATGACGTCCGCTTCGTCACACACGGCAACGAAGTCGAAAAAATTGGTTTGTGATTAGAGAGCGGTCGCTCCCGGTTGCTTGCCTATAAAACAGTTTTCCGCCCGCCCTCCAAACTTCGACTTTCCACCAACTTTCAGCTGCTCTTTCAGCACTCGAGCTTCTCCTTCGTTCGCAGCTTCTCAACAAGCTTCACCGCTGTTACCTCTACACCTGGCACAGTGCAATGTGGCAAGACTGACCGAGCGGGAGGCATCTGATCCTAATGACGGCACCCACGCCAGAAGGTGACGGTGTCTAGAGTGAGGCGACGCTGACGGCTTTCCTCGATTGCCTGACGCCGACCCGAAACCGCGCCCTTAGACTAGGCATATCGCTGTTCACTCTCGAGTGCTGTGTCGACGACAGCCGCCATCTCACAATGACACCGATGGCCGTAAGCCCACAACCCCCGACCACACTACACCACGCTCCCCCTAGCCATGCAGCTCAACCTGTCTTTGGCGGCGTGGTCACCAACCGAAGAAGCCACAAAAACAGTACCGAAGACCGGGTACAAGACCGCCCCAACGAACGGTGCAAGAAGCCACAAGAGCAAAGGCAAACAGCAGCCTGAAAAAGCGCGGAGGCAAGAACCCACAAAACCAGATCGTCGTCAGAAAGAGGCACAGAAAAACATGCAGCGCAGAGAAACGAGGTCGTGAGTCCGACAGGGTCGGCAGGAACTCCAGAAAAAAAAAATAAAAGGGCACCGGCTCCAGTGTCAGAAAGAGGAGGGCATCAGTCGTTCGCCTGTTGGCGGCGCCTGGAGCCTTTTGTTGTTCGCGCAGCTTGTTGTGTAAGTAGTCCACCCTTCCATGGAATGTCGTCGCCATCACCACCGCTGCCGTCCATACTGCCGTTGCTGACCGATCTCCATAATCCTTATTGCCGCATGCCGCACGCCGCCACCACCACAATATTCCGATATTGTCGCCGCCGATGCTGTCGAGTCTCGGCAGCGCGTAGACCCTGGATCGCTGTCGCAGTCTGCCAAGCCTTCACAAGCCAATGTCAGAAGCCAATGTCACAAGCCAGTGTCACAAGCTAGTCTGAAACTGAGCTCAACTCAAACCGGTGACTCGATTTGGCGCACTCACTTACATGTCGCTGCCTAAAGTCTAATTCTGGACCTATTTCTTGAGCTCTCCAGCTTTGCTTTCTTCTTCCACAAACATACACCACCACCACACCACCACACCCTCTACACAAGGGTAGCACTACAGCAACACCATTGTAGAGACACATACACATAAGATGTCTTCCTACAACCTCGACCCGACTATGCGCGACAGCTACACTCCAGATCCCGACGCTTTGTTCGTGTCTGATGGTCGTCACAAGGCCGATGTCGAGTTAGAGCACTACGGCCGCGAAGATGAGGAGAACGCCCTCGAGCAGGAGGACTTCGACGGTAACCCATTTGCCTTCTCTGCTCATTCTGGGATCGAGGGTAGTACCGGAGGTACTGCCTCAGACCATCACCGACTACAGTTCCATACTGTAGCCCACGGTGCTGGCTACCGCCCTATCCCAACTGCACGTCCCGCATCTCCAGAGCCCGAGTCCGAGGTCGAGGTTCGTAAGTACGATCGCAAGAAGGTCGGTCTCCCAATCGTGCAATCGGTATTCAATATGCCGAATCCTCGAAGCTGTCGTCGCGATCAGCGCTCTCGAGCTGCGGACCCGGCTACTGCCCACCTTCGCGAGAAGGAGCGCGGTGTACGCTGGAATCGTTTCGGCTTTCTGATCGACACTTTCGCGAAGGAAACTGAGAGGAGCCGCATGTGGTACGCACATCAGCAGGCTCAGAAGGGAGTTTGGGACCTCGAGCGTACTCGTCTCGCTACTCGAATCCCGGAGCTTAGGGCTGAGCTGGCAGAGGTAAGATAATCCCCCGTTTTTTCCCTCGACTTTGAGTAAAGCTAACACTGTATAGGCTCAGCAAGACCTATCCAATATGAATGCTGCCGAGGCTAAACTCGAGGAGGACTACGGCGACGAGATCGAGAACGGGCGACAAAACCAGAAGAAGCTCGAGATGTGGACTAGCTTCCTTCAAATGGAGAACGATGCCTACCCGAAGGAGCTCGAGGGGTACGAGGAACCTGACTCCGAGGAGGAATTCGAGGCTTTTATGCAGGATCTGTCGGAGCCGGGAAATGAGGAATTGCGGAAGGCTATCAAGGATGCGGAGGACAGGGAAAATGCGATGGAGGAGTAACTCGGAGAAATTCAGGAGTAGAGGATGGAGAGTGGAGGATCAAAAGCGATTTGTTTCCAGAGGATGCCTATGCACAAAGCATATCGGGTTTCCAGCATAAGCATGAATTCAGGATGGAAATCCTGAGCGACTAGACGAGTGAGCTTGTAGACAGCTCACAACATACCAATAAAAGTCTTGATCTAATACACTTCTTCCCATTCATCTCGACAGGATGTAATGTACGAAGCAGTCAAGGTTTCCGGTATAAGCATGTATTGAGGATGGGATTTCTGAGCGAGCAGACAAGTGAGAGAGAGACAACTTACGAAATACGAATGAAAGTCTTGTTTTGATGCACTTCTTCCCGTTGATCTCGACAGGATGTAATGCACGAAGCAGTCAAGGTTTCTAGCATAAGTGCGTATTGAGGATGGAATTTCAGAGCGAGTAGACAAGTAAGATAGAGAGAATTCACAAAATGCGAAGAAAAGTCTCGTTTTGATACACTTCTTCCCATTGATTTCGAAAGGATGCAATAGACGAAGCAGTCGGGGGGTCGAGCATTAGTGTATATTAAGGATGGAATTTCAGAGCGAGTAGACAAGTGAGATAGAGAGAACTCACAAAATACAAACAAAAGTCCCGTTTAAACACACTTCTTCCTATCGATTTCGAAAGGATGCAATGCACGGAGGAGTTAGGGTATTCAACACGAGTATGTGTTCGGGATGGAATCTCGGAGCGACCAAACAAGTAGGATGGGGAAAACTCACTTGTTTTGATCGACTCTGCCTGTTGATTTCGAACGGATGTAATGCACGAAGCAGCTAGGGTGTGCAGCGCAAGTATATGTTGAGGGTAGAATTCTGAGCGACTAGACAAGCGAGCTGGTAGACAACTCACTTGTTTTGATCGACTCTGCCTATTCATTTCGAAAGGATGTATAAGTACGAAGCAGTTAGGGTATCCCGTATAAGTGTATATTAAGAATGGAATTTCTGAGTAAGCGGACAGGCGAGATAGTAGATAACTCACTTGTTCTAATCGACTCTGCCTATTCATTTCGAAAGGATGTATAAGTACGAAGCAGTTAGGGTATCCCGTATAAGTGTGTATTAAGGATAGAATTTCTAAGTAAGCGGACAGGCGAGATAGTAGACAACTTACTTATTCTAATCGACTCTGCCTATTTATTTCGAAAGGATATATAGGTGCGAAGCGGTTAGGGTGTCTAGTATAGGCATATATTAGGGATAGAATCTCTAAGCGAGCACACAAGCGAGCTAGCAGACAACTTACAAAATACGAAAACCCCCTATTTATTTCGAGGGGATATATAAGTGCGAAGCGGTTAGGGTGTCTAGTATAGGCATATATTAGGGATAGAATCTCTAAGCGAGCATATAAGCGAGCTAGCAGACAACTTACAAAATACGAAAACCCTCTATTTATTTCGAGGGGATATGTAAGTACGAAGCAGTTAGGGTATTAGGGGGTAGGCAGGAATCGAGTATAGAATTTTAAGCGACTGTACAAGTAAGCTAGCAGACAACTTACAAAATGCTAATAAAGCCTGTTTATTTCGGAAGGATATATAAGTACGAAGCAGTTAGGGTATTAAGTATAAGTAGGAATCGAGGATAGAATTATAAGCGACTAGATAAGTAAGCTATCTATCTAAGTTATACTATACGAAAGTTCTATTTTATAAAACAATTTAGCCCTCCTTATTAATTTAGAAAGGGTATATATATAATATTATATATATACTAGGAGCTTTCCTTTTAGTAATAAAAATCTTGTTTTAATATAAATTTACTTATTGATCTCTAATAGATCGCTCTATACTAAGCCTACTAGGTATCTACTATAATACTATATTAAAGCTATAACTCGTAAGCTATCTTAAAGCAAGCTACGATACAGCTTACTTTCTATAGATAAAAGCCTTATTTCTGTCTATTTCTTACTTTATCCTAAGGAAATGCCTAAGTAGAAGCTTCCTAGGTATATAGTATAAGAATTAAAAAGAGATGCAAGTCTTAAGCTATCTTAAAGTAAGCTACAGAATAGTTCACCTACTACGAACTTGGGTAGAAGTACTTATCTTAAGCTTTGCTTTAGAGTATACCTACGGACGGAGTAGTCTAGGTATTTAGTATAAGAATCGATAAGAGATATAAGTCCTAAGCTGTCTTAAAGTAAGCTATAGAATAGCTTACCTACTACGAGTCTACGAACAGAAGTACTCATTTCGAGCTTTGCTTCGAGAGTAGCCTACGGACAGAGCAGTCTAGGTATTTAGTATATATATATATATAGAGAGAGAGAGAGAGAGAGATAAGATTCTCGAGCTCTAGAAGGGTTAGGCTATCCGATAGCTACGTTCTATAAAACGAAAGTCCTATTTCGAGCTTTGCTTCTAGATAGTAGACTCTAGAGAGTGCCTATAGACGGAATAGTCTAGGTATTTAGTAGAAGGCTATTTAATAATATAATTATAAGAAGGGTGTATTAGTAGGTAGATAGGGTAGTAGTAGGTATAAGTAGTATTCGATAAGGATCTAGAAGGAGAGGGAGGAGGGCAGGCAAGTTAGCCTAACGCTAAGCGCTAAGCCCTACCTAAGGTATCGAGACCCTAGCTTTACTCGGCCTAGTTATATACTAATTACGTATAGCCTCTTTAGCCCTAATATACGCTTCCCTACTAAAGGCCGCGCCCTCGTAGCCGGTTTATATTCTATTCTTAACCTCTATTGCTACTAACTTAGCAAATCTAATAAGCTGTTTAGCTACGCTAAATTAAACACTTAACTACCTAATTATATAACTATATTAAACCTTACCTTCTAACGCTATGTTTAACTCTAACTGCGCTATCCTTATGTGTAATAAAGTAATATATATCTATAAGAATTAAGGACCCCCGACTAATTATAATACGAGCGCGTCTTCCCTACTACAATAGGTAGGCGTACGAGGTATTATAGCACTGCCTCTGTTCTAAGTAATATCGTTTCGAGTTCTTTGCGTCTGCTCTGGGAGACCTAGTAATACCGCTTCTAAGGGATTATTCTTGTTATCACGAGGGCTATTATTGTTCGTAGTTTCGCTAGCCCTAATTAGTTAGGTTTAGCAGCCTTTAAGTGTTAATTAATCTTATCTTTTTAAAAACACAGTTCGTCTAGTTTCTATAGGTAAAGGCTATTATAAGTGTAATAGTTAAGGTTCGCCTCGCTTAAAGGGTCGGAAAGATCGAGGAGTAACCTATTGTCCGTAAGATCGACCCTAGCTAGCTTAGCTCTATATTTTTGCCTTTAGCCAGTCCACTAGTCGCCTAATCTTCTAAGCCCAAAGCCTTTCGAACGGCTTAATCTTTTAACCTAGTTAGCGTAGTGCGTTCTAGCCTTTAAGTTAGGCTATAGTATAGGTAAGGTTGTCCTCGTAGGTAAAGTAATAATAGTAAGTAATGTTAATAATAGCGGCGCTAGCTGTCTTAGCGCTAACTTTACCTTGTTCCTCGTTTCCTTTTTCGACTAGTAATATACCTAGTAATACTATTACTAATACGCCGCGCCGTCTTCCGGCGTATCGCTAGCTCGTAGCGCGGCGCTATTATTATTATTATTATTATTATTATTATCACCACTATCATCATTATTATTATTATTATTATTATTATTATTATTATTATTATTATTATTATTATTATTATTATTATTATTATTATTATTATTATTATTATTATTATTATTATTATTATTATTATTATTATTATTATTATTATTATTATTATTATTATTATTATTATTATTATTATTATTATTATTATTATTATTATTATTATTATTATTATTATTATTATTATTATTATTATTATTATTATTATTATTATTATTATTATTATTATTATTATTATTATTATTATTATTATTATTATTATTATTATTATTATTATTATTATTATTATTATTATTATTATTATTATTATTATTATTATTATTATTATTAGCGCGCCGTCCTCGCCGATCGCTCAGGCTTCGAGGCCTTATTAGAATAAAGGAGTAGGAGGGGGACCTAAATACTAGAAGAGGGGCCTTATAGGATATATTAGTAAAGAGGTAGATTCCTTAAAAGAGTAAGCGAGTAGTTAATGCGTTATAGTGCGCTTATTAATACTCGGTACGCATTTACTATAGTAGTATAGTCTTACCTTTACTAACAATTACTCGCCTCTAATTAGTTAGCTAATAGTACCCTAGGGGTAGCATTAATCCTAGGTCTCTCTAGCGACATTATATGCTCTTAGCCTTCTTCTTGTTCTTTATACTAGTCTAATACTTATCTAATAACTTAGTTATGTCCTCGAAGGAGCCTTTAGCTTCCTATAAGTCCTATTTAGGCGAATAGCCTTGCTATCTTAGTAGGTACTCCTTCTTGCCTTGTCTAGTCCGATACTTTAATATTCGTTCGACCGACTATAGCTCTTTACTATTAGCTAAGACTTCTTCTAACTTAGTAGGCGCTTTATCGCCTTCGCGCTAGTAATATAGCTTAAGGAGTAATACGTAGAAGGTGTTATAGATAGTATAATAAGGAGGAAGCTATAACTAATAGGCCTATACGGAGGAGCCCTTAACTTCTCGAATACAGAATAGGCTAATATATCTTAGTGCGAGCTTAGGCCTTGTTTTGCTATTAGGTAATAGGTGTTTACGGATACGGAGGTTCTTTATACTAAGTATAACTATATCGCCTTGCTTAAAGGTTACTAGTATATAGCGCTTATCGTAGTAGATCTTTTAGTACTCTTAAGCCTTTATTAGCTTCTTAGCTATCTTAGCATAGATTTCCCGCATCTTCTAGACACGTTCTATTACCGCTAGTGTCTCTAGTACTTAACGCGCTTCCCTTTCCTTACGCTCGGCCTCGAGCGAGGCAAATAGTTATTATAGCAAAGCGGCGTTTTAGCCTATTATAGCTATATAGGGTAAAACCTTAGTTAATAAGTATACGCTGTTATTATATACGAATTCTATAGGTTATAGGAGGTTAACCTAATCCTCGGGGTTCTTATTAATATAGCTGCGTAGGTACTACTATAGGGTAGTATTCTGCCTCTCTATTTAACCGTTAGTCTATAGATAGAAGGCTGTTAATAGCCGATGCTTTAGTCTTAGCTATAGGCATATTTCGCTCTAATAGTGCGACGTTAGTATCGATCTACGATTAGACACTATCCCCTTAGGGGTTCCCTAATAGGTATAGAAGATATTATTCTATAGCGCTTCTACTATATTAATAGTAGTCTAATCTTTCCGCGCCGAGATATATCGAGCGCCTTTAGTAAATCGATCTACTATAATAAGGATAGCATTAAAGACGTCCTTACTACCTCTACGCTTAGTAGGCGGAAGGCCTATAATAAAGTCTATTATAAGCTCTGTAAATAGCTTCCTAGGAATAGGAAGTAAAGACAACTCGCTAAATAGTAAGTGCTTTAGTGCTTTAATACGCTAGCATACTATATAGGTCTATA